CCTCCTTCTCACAAATGATCCCAAAAATATAAAAATTAAATAAAGTTGGTTCAACACAGTGGCGGGTCATTTTGACCCTAGGACAATGGGAGGGTTAATTAAATATCTTGTTTTGTAGTTAACTTTAAAATAATTCACAGTGGGAATCGAACTTGATCATTATAAACACATTTTAGAGCCCAAAATGGGTGTATATGTTTTGGGGGATTTGTCTGTTCTGGCGATCGTAATTTACATAGGCTTTCTAGGGCAGACCAGGGCTTTTGGCACCGCTAGGTTGCTACACAGTAGCCGAGCAGTAGAGCTCGTGACTTCACGCTCCAGACCGGACACTGGGGGCCTGGTAACTACACATGGCCAGTATAACCAAAAATCCAGGTATTCAAAGGGTTGATATGGTCTTGATATGTTGATCTTAATAGACTAGGACCTGTTAACAACTCTTGTAACAAGGCACGCGCACACCTTGCCATTAAAACCCCTTAGAGTCGATTGACGCACATTTGCCTCAATCTAAGTAACATAATAAAAAAATCCCCATCAAAATCCTTCATTATAAGCTAGATATATATTTTTGCATTGGATGCGTCTCAATTCACCATATCCGCCAATCTTGCACTTTTGCAACTGCAGTGAAAGGTGGCAGAGCTAGAGCGATGTTTGTCAGACCATGAGACATCCCTAAAATCAGTCTTTTCACGAAGCGTCAGAACTATTATTACCACTCTATGGAAAGGGGAGACTCTCGTGAAGAAGATGGTGTTCTCCGTTTTGCTCTATGACCCCCAAAAGTGTCAGAATACTCTTCTGGAGTCGGTACCATCGATGTCCCAACATTCCTTTTGTAGCGTCCAAATCGTTTGGGCTACAAACTAATCTGACCCCCACAAGTGTCACAGGATTCGTCTGAAGGTAACCGGTGCCGGTTGAAAAAAATATATAGAAGTATGAAGGTACAGTGGCTTTGTGCCTAACCGAAAAAGGGATTAAATATGTGTCCCAAAAAAATATATACATATTTCCTGAGCTTTCTTATATCTCCGAGATATAGGACAGACACTTCAAAACCTTGTTTCTTAAGATGTATTTTTGGACTGTCCTTTTTGCCATATCTGAATGTGTTATTCAATGTGTTTCTATGGGCTGCAGTGGTAAAGGCCAAATTCAATATTTTTTCATAAATAGATATGAAGCAGAGGCAAACAACAAAAATTACATATTTTAAGGCATGGTTTTCATCACAGTTTGAGTACATTTAGCTTCCCCATTCATTTAAATTCATTTATTTCCATATGTTATTCCATAAACATAATTATCTTACGTTTAACTTTAAATACCATGCTAGTTCAAATCATACAAAACATACAAACCAAACAATACAAAAAGGGGCACAGTAAGTGATGCAGCCCAGGAGGCAGGCATCAATTTTTTCCAGTTCTCCATTAAAGCTCAAACTTCATTGGGAAGGCTATACGGATACGCTTGGTGCCCAAATTGATTACGTATGTCGCGCAGCTGAGAGTCGAGTGTAGACGAACAGATTCAGTTCAGTCAGATGTTCTGGGGTGTATTCATTACGGAAACCATTTACCATTTACAGCACATTCGGAATGTATTCAAACCCCTTGACTTTTTCCTCATTTTGTTACGTTACAGCCTTATTCTAAAATTGATTAAATGAAAACATGTCCTCATCAATCTACACACAATACCACATAATGACAAAGTGAAAACAGGTGTTTAGAAATGTTTGCAAATGTATAAAAAACAACAACATAAGAGTCTTGGTGGTTCCAAACTTCTTCCATTTAAGCGTTATGGAGGCCACTGTGTTCTTCAATGCTGCAGACATTTTTTTATACCCTTTCCCAGATCTGTGTCTCGACACAATCCTATCTCAGAGCTCTACAGACAATTCCTTCGACCTTACGGCTTGGTTTTTGCTCTGACATGCACTGTCAACTGTGTGTGCCTTTCCAAATAATTTCCAATCAATTGAATTTACCACAGGTGGACTCCAATCAAGTTGTAGAAACATCTCAAGGATGATCAATGGAAACAGGATGCACCTGAGCGCAATTTTGAGTCTCATAGCAAAGGGTCTGAATACTTATGTAAATAAGGTATTTATGTTTTTTTTATTTTTAATACATTTGCGAAGATGTCTCAAAACCTGTTTTCGCTTTGTCATTATGGGGTATTGTGTGTAGATTGATGAGGGAGAAAACATTTTAATCAATTTTAGAATAAGGCTGTAACTTAACAAAATGTGGACAAAGTCAAGGGGTCTGAATACTTTCCGAATGCACTGTATACTCCTTCTCTAACACTGACATCACTGTAGGATCACTTAGAACCAACACCCAGTTTTGTATGAATGAATTAACTGATATCAACATCCCATTTGACACAAAGGACAGCAATGTTGATGGGGCTAAAGATGGCAATCGTTGTTATTAATTCTGTTTTTAAATAATGTAAAGCAATAAAAAACTCAAGTCTTTGCATTTTTGCAAAGTGTGGAAAAAGTCAAGGGGTCTGAATACTTTCTGAATGCACTGTAAAAACCAAAGGAAGGCAAACAGCAAAACAAAAGTCTCTACGGGACAAATTTTGCTCCGTTTGCATCCGTTTTGCAACAAAATCAGCGGAATGAATACATCCCAGACAGTGGCGTAGCACAGACTCACGACCACCCTGCAAGGTCTGAGTAAGCTACAGTTTTAGCACTACTTCCCTCTCCTTACTGCGGAAAGACTGTATCATGGTGACATCCAGATGGTTACTACCAATGTTACAAGTTATTTATTTTGTAGGCGGCTATTCTACTCTAAATAAAATCAAGTAGGATGGAACAAATTGGCCACATTAGCTACCGCTAGCGACATGTGATATAGCTTTCCGGTGGGAAGCAACTGCTGCCCAGTGGGTATGAAGCAACTCACGTCGGCAACCATCTCAATACAACACCGTTGTACTGGTCATTCGCACCGGCTTCTCGTAACTTTAGCTAATTGGCATGTCACGGTGACATCCAGATGGTGACAAATACTACAAGTTATTTCTCCCTCGCCCATTGAAATAAACTTTATTTTACACATTTTAACTAACGCCATGCTGCTGTTGTTGCCAGCTAGCAAGCATAAACTTTCTAGCTAAGGCTCATCAGAAGGACTTACTAAACTAACTGAACCGAATCCATTAATTTTCCATTTGGGCACCAGGCTTGTCCGTGTTGCCTCCCTCAGCTCTCTGCACACTCAGACGCACCATGCCTCCGGACTGCATTCACTTCCTGCACCATGCCTCCGGACTGCATTCACTTCCTGTGGGCGGCCGCTAGAAAAAACAAAACAGGAGTTTAAATACGCACAGTTCAAATCACATGATAAGTCAATCAATCAATAGGAATAGTAGTTATATTAAACATGCAAATAAGTCACACATTCTCACCCACTTCAAATGAGTGTGTCCTCGCACTGGTTGTGAAAAACACTGCACAATGGCACACGTGCAAAAATACGTTTTACACTGGTTAGAAAAAGCCAATATACACACATAAATAAATAAACCCTGAATATATTCAAGAAACAAACAACGTCTCCTTGAAGATATAGTCCCCCAATGCCATAAGCAGCTCACCCACATGGTGTTCTGGGGCAGCCAGGCCATTCGTCTTCTCCATCCCCTGCTTCCTCTTTTCCTGGGCATCAGGCTTCCGGTGACCCTAATTCCCCCTGGGTGACATCCTGATTGTGAGGTAACGATGGGTGTGAAATACAGAACTCTGCCCATCTCCAGTCACCTCAAGCCCATCGGTCACCCACTTTGAGACACTCTATCCGGCTGTCCGCGGGCCCCCTTAGCAGTGCTACCTTGTTCTCTTGCTGGCACATTCCCCTCAGCTCAGCAGGTCACACACCTCCAGCCATGTCCTTTGAACTGCTTAGGCTTCACCCATAGGGCACCTTAATTCCCCCCAGGCCAGTTAGGTCACACATAGTCCCTCAGTCCAGCAGGGGATGGTTTCCTCTTCTATCCCAGCTACCTCCAGAACCACCCAATGGGGAGACTGCAGAACCTGGGAGCACAGAAACACAGAACAGTAAAAGGCAAAACAAAACTGGCCCCTGCTCCACAACTGGCCACTCATTGGCCCAGATCCTGCTGACTACACCACACGTGTCACAAGTTGGAAAGTGACAGGTTCCAAGTCTGGAGTCAATTAACCAATAGGAATGCTAGTTAGATTAAACAGGCAAATAAGTCACACCTGTGACAGGTACATTGAATCAAATGGTATGTAATTACAATGTTGTTACAAAGAATACACTTGTAATTATAATCAAGCAATGTAATTACCATCAAGCAACATAATGTAAAGTAATTACAATGCAACAACCTTTGCAGAAAATAGGCTAACCAGTAGGTGACCTTCAAACATGTAATTACAAAACGCCATAGTGGACCTTTGAATGCCTGTTGATCTTGTCATTTATAGTTGCAGCAGACAAAGACGTTTCTACAACAGGCCTTTCAGCGTAAAGTAGCACATATGCAGAAGGTACAATTGTTTAGCTATTCGGAAGAGGCATCCAGAGAATCCGGCCATTCAGCCACTCCGTAACATAAAATAGGTAATTAGTAATTACACATTTGGAATAACCTTCAGCAAGTGGATTTGTAATTACACAGTCCTTGTTCCAATGGTCTTATAACCGATACTGCTAAACCCTATTACCATGTAAATAGGGATACATAGCAATTCCTATGTAACTACTATGGTGTTCCTAGTCATTACTGTGTAGTTACATGGTAATAGGGGAAACTTAATGTACAGCATTACCATGCGACCCAAAATTAAACATAAGGATGCTGATATAAACTCAGGCAAGTGCTGCTGTGATCGTTGCCTCATATGTTTTAATTTACTATATAGTCGTTGATTTAGCCAATTTAAAGCTAGGCACGATTAGGTGGCATTTTTATCTCCTATCCAGCTACATCATTGACATCAGTGGCCAGGTGTGTTACACAATAATTTTGTGGAAGTGATATCATTCAACTGACATACAGAGACAGGATCACTTGAGTACTACAGTAAAGTCGACACACATTGTTACTCAAACCTGTTCTTGCCTTCCCAGGGTTTTGTCATGGATCAGGTGTGTTACCAGACGGGTCCCTGGTTGGGGCGATAGGAGGGAGTGTTACATTTAACAGAGCATCAGCCCAGCCATTTCTAACATTACAATGTAAAGTTAATGGTACAACTAATATACAACTAAGAATGTAGGCCGTCATTGTAAATAAGAATTTGTTCTTAACTGACTTGCCTAGTTAAATAAAGGTTAAATAAAATAAAAAAAAATAAAAAAATAAAAAAAAATATATATATATATATATTCAACTATATAAGCAGTTCTGACACTTTAAACTCTGAAGATAGATACAGAGACAGAATCAATCTGGACAGCTCCTCAGGATCCCTGGAGCTCATGAATCTTGTTCTGGCTGACAGTCGACAATACACTGTGACCATTATAACACCTGAAGTTGTATTAGTTGATGGAAACACCAAACTAGAAGTGTATTGTATTCCAATTTTATCAGTCAATACGTTCCCCTCCATTTTCTAGCTTTAGGTTTCACATAATCAGTGCAAATACTTAATTGTAAGGCTGGACTGCAGAAACATTTTAAAGCCATACATTGCATTCGGAAAGTATTCAGACCCCTTGACTTTTTCCACATTTTGTTACATTACAGCCTTATTCTAAAATTGATTAAATTGTTGTTTTCCCTTCATCACTCTATTGAAATACACCATAATGACAAAGCAAAAACAGGTTTGTAAATTTTTTATCAAATGTATAACAAATAAAAAACTTTAATATCACATTTACAGAAGTATTCAGACCCTTTACTCAGTACTTTGTTGAAGCACCTTTGGCAGCGATTACAGCCTCGAGTCTTCTTGGGTATGAAGCTACAAGCTTGGCACACCTGTATTTGGGAAGTTTCTCACATTCTTCTCTGCAGAGCCTCTCAAGCTCTGTCAGGTTGGATTGGGAGTGCCGCTGCACAGCTATTTTCAGATCTCTCCAGAGATGTTCGATAGGGTTCAAGTCCGGGCTCTGGCTGGGCCACTCAAGGACATTCAGAGTCTTGTCCCGCAGCCACTCCTGCGTTGTCCTGGCTGTGTGCTTAGGGACGTTGTCCTGTTGGAAGGTGAATGACCGCCCCAGTCTGAGGTCCTGAGTGCTTTGGAGGAGGTTTTCATCAAGGATCTCTCTGTACTTTGCACCGTTCATCTTTCCCTCAATCCTGACTAGACTTCCAGTCCCTGCCGCTGAAAAACATCCCCACAGCATGATGCTGCCACTACCATGCTTCACCGTAGGGATGGTGCAAGGTTTCCTCCAGAGGTGACGTTTGGCATTCAGGCCAAAGAGTTCAATCTTGGTTTCATCAGACCAGAGAATCTTGTTTCTCATGGTCTGAGAGTCCTTTAGGTGCCTTTTGGCAAACTCCAAGCGGGCTGTCATGTGCCTTTTACTGAGGAATGGCTTCCGTCTGGCCACTCTAAAGGCCTGATTGGTGGAGTGCTGCAGAGATGGTTGTCCTTCTGGAAGGTTCTCCCATCTCCAAAGAGGAACTCTGGAGCTCTGTCAGAGTGACCATTGGGTTCTTGGTCACCTCCCTGACCAAGGCCCTTCTCCCCCGATTGCTCAGTTTGGCCGGACGGCCAGCTCTAGGAAGAGTCTTGGTGGTTCCAAACTTCTTCCATTTAAGAATGATAGAGGCCACTTTATTCTTCGGGACCTTCAATGCAGCAGAATCTTTTTTGTACCCTTCCCCAGATCTGTGCTTTGACACAATCCTGTCTCAGAGCTCTACGGACAATTCCTTTGACCTCATGGCTTGGTTTTTGCTCTGACATGCACTGTCTACTGTGGGACCTTATATAGACAGGTGTGTGCCTTTCTATAGGCTATGCAATTGCGGGAGAAAACAGAGTGATGGCCGCTAATAAAAAGATGAGGATCCCATCAGCTTTCTATAGGCTAGACCTACATTTACATTTTAGTCATTTAGCAGATGCTCCTATCCAGAGCGACTTACAGTTAGTGAGTGCATACATTATTTTTTATACTGGCCCCCCGTGGGAATCGAACCCACAACCCTGGCGTTACAAACGCCATGCTCTACTGAGCTACATCCCTGCCGGCCATTCCCTCCCCTACCCTGGACGACGCTGGGCCAATTGTGCGCCGCCCCATGGGTCGCCCGGTCGCGGCAAGCTACGACAGAGCCTGGATTCGAACCAGGATCTCTAGTGGCACAGCTAGCACTGCGATGCAGTGCCTTAGACCACTGTGCCACTATATTTATTTCTCAACTTTCCTAATATTAAGCACATTGCTTATCTTTACAACAGGAGTAAGCCTACCTGGCTGGCATGAAAATAAACCACGGGGAAAAGCATCCTCCATTCGCTATTTAAGTGCATAGATGACATGAATTTCTTCCAACTGCCCCTGTTCTAAGACAGGTGCATGATAATGGTCCATTCTAAATCAAAACAAATGTCACACATATATTATTTAGTATATGTAAAGATTAAATCAAGAATAGTGTGATGGGTGACAATATTAGCCTACCACTTGTGAATTATATATTATGACTTGTGAATGATGCCCAGCATAAGAAACAAAGCCTTTTTTTTGCGACATGTTCGAATCATAGTCGCACACCTCATGTAGCCTAGCCCATAGGCCTATATGTTTTAATAAGATTTGTATCACAACTAAAGTGGCCAAATAACTTCTTAAAATTAAGCACATTAATCCACTTTACAAGGGGTGTTGAGCCTAACTGGCATATACAGTGGGGAGAACAAGCATTTGATACACTGCCGATTTTGCAGGTTTTCCTACTTACAAAGCATGTAGAGTTCTGTAATTGTTATCATATTTACACTTCAACTGTGAGAGACGGAATCTAAAACAAAAATCCAGAAAATCACATTGTATGATTTTTAAGTAACTAATTTGCATTTTATTGCATGACATAAGTATTTGATACATCAGAAAAGCAGAACTTAATATTTGGTACAGAAACCTTTGTTTGCAATTACAGAGATCATACGTTTCCTGTAGGTCTTGACCAGGTTTGCACACACTGCAGCAGGGATTTTGGCCCATTCCTCCATACAGACCTTCTCCAGATCCTTCAGGTTTTGGGGCTGTCGCTGGGCAATACGGACTTTCAGCTCCCTCCAAAGATTTTCTATTGGGTTCAGGTCTGGAGACTGGCTAGGCCACTCCAGGACCTTGAGATGCTTCTTACGGAGCCACTCCTTAGTTGCCTTGGCTGTGTGTTTCGGGTCATTGTCATGCTGGAAGACCCAGCCACGACCCATCTTCAATGCTCTTACTGAGGGAAGGAGGTTGTTGGCCAAGATCTCGCGATACATGGCCCCATCCATCCTACCCTCAATACGGTGCAGTCGTCCTGTCCCCTTTGCAGAAAAGCATTCCCAAAGAATGATGTTTCAACCTCCATGCTTCACGGTTGGGATGGTGTTCTTGGGGTTGTACTCATCCTTCTTCTTCCTCCAAACACGGCGAGTGGAGTTTAGACCAAAAAGCTATATTTTTGTCTCATCAGACCACATGACCTTCTCCCATTCCTCCTCTGGATCATCCAGATGGTCATTGGCAAACTTCAGACGGGCCTGGACATGCGCTGGCTTGAGCAGGGGGACCTTGCATGCGCTGCAGGATTTTAATCCATGACGGCGTAGTGTGTTACTAATGGTTTTCTTTGAGACTGTGGTCCCAGCTCTCTTCAGGTCATTGACCAGGTCCTGCCGTGTAGTTCTGGGCTGATCCCTCACCTTCCTCATGATCATTGATGCCCCACGAGGTGAGATCTTACATGGATCCCCAGACCGAGGGTGATTGACCGTCATCTTGAACTTTTTCCATTTTCTAATAATTGCGCCAACATTTGTTGCCTTCTCACCAAGCTGCTTGCCTATTGTCCTGTAGCCCACCCCAGCCTTGTGCAGGTCTACAATTTTATCCCTGATGTCCTTACACAGCTCTCTGGTCTTGGCTATTGTGGAGAGGTTGGAGTCTGTTTGATTGAGTGTGTGGACAGGTGTCTTTTATACAGGTAACGAGTTCAAACAGGTGCAGTTAATACAGGTAATGAGTGGAGAACAGGAGGGCTTCTTAAAGAAAAACTAACATGTCTGTGAGAGCCGGAATTCTTACTGGTTGGTAGGTGATCAAATACTTATGTCATGCAATAAAATGCAAATTAATTACTTAAAAATCATACAATGTGATTTTCTGGATTTTGGTTTAGTTTCCGTCTCTCACAGTTGAAGTGTACCTATTATAAAAATTACAGACCTCTACATGCTTTGTAAGTAGGAAAACCTGCAAAATCGGCAGTGTATCAAATACTTGTTCTCCCCACCGTATAAGCAGCGCGTGAGTTTCAAGTTTGGGGAAGATAATCTTCACCATAAAAATGCACCTTTATAATAAAAGCATTACATGCATAATTGCATTTGCGGTCACTTTTGATAATGGTGTTTTTTGCTAATAGACCATTCACGCTTATAGCCTACTACCATGTGCACATTGATGCGCTTATAATGTGAAGAAATAACCTAATAGTTTATCAACATTTTAAGCTAAACATTCTGATCTGTTGCGTCAGCCAAATTGCATAAAAAGTTGTTTTGATGCTAGAGTTTGTATTAATTTGGGATCTATCTCATCCCACAACTGTCCCAGACTATATTTGGAATATTTATTTCCTGCACAGAATAGAATAGGTTGACCTTTGTACTATGGGGGATAGTAGATTGACATAGGCTAGTGCTTTTGCTGTTCGTTAGGCCTACTCATCTTGTTGGCTGACGAAAAGTACATGTGGACAGTTCTTCCAATATCTTCAATATGCACCTCAGAATTGGATAAGGACGCGCGCAGTTGCGTCCCCGATGTGTCTGTCTTAACTTGTAGCCTGTGAGTGAGTGAGAGATGCTTCGGATTGCGCAGCACACTCAGGGAGGCCGCAAAAGGCATGGATTTGTTTAGGGTGTATTACGACCACATAGGGGATGTCGCCGTGAAATTTGAGGCATTATCAAGTGCTTGTCAAATTGTGAATGAGAGACTATTGGAGTGTGTACAGCCTGCGCAAAAAAAACAAAGCAGAGCTCATGCCTTTCAAGTGCCTTTTTTCAAATCATCATTAGAGTCTCATCATGCAGCCTTACAATGTATTAAAAATCAAAATATATAGCCCAAACTTTGTAGAACAACTAAAGTTACATTAATAACTCTAAATTAAGCATATAGGACTACCTATTTCTTTGTTAATCGCTCAACACAGAATAGCCGCATGTGCACACTCCCTCAAATAGTTTGGAGAAAATATGTATATTTTATTCAGCTTTGTTCAATTGTATTCTTCATACTATAAAATAATATAAAATAATGCCACGGAATTATAAGCAAATCTTGTCTGCT